ATACGCGTAATATTACACGTGATGTAAATATTTCCTGCAAACTACACTTTTGAAGCACTATCGTGTTACCCAAGCCAAAGAAACGTGCATAAAAGTTAAATAATTAAAAAACTATATAAAATAAAAAGAAATGAGAAAAGTTAGAAAGAGAGATGTTCAAGGGATCTAATTAGAATGGAACATTCATACGCCGAAAACTCTTGCAAGGCAAATGTTGTCTTACATGAGAGGACGACATAAGAGACAAATTTACTTACTTCTGGCACATATCAACTTAAAAAAAAAAGAAAGAAAATTTCTTGAAATTTAAGAAAAAAATCACGTAAAGGAAAAGGGACATAAATTAATCCACTTGTCGATCAGCGAGAAAACGGGGCATAATTTGTGATGCTTAATGGAAATTTGGAAGAAAACAAATTCGTTCGTCGAGAAAAAGTCGAGATTGCTCGTAAACTCAAAAACTTTCTACGAAATGCGATTTTTCGCTTACATTCACGCTCATTCGTTTGATATATCTATCGTTTGCCAAGCGAGATGTTAAAAATTTAATGAGCTTTGTGTAAAGCTCGTAATCCTCGAGATGGACGTTAAATGTTGCACAAGAAGAGCAGCCCGCTTTGCTTTCGAGTGAGAGCGATTGTCAGGCCGAAAGACAAACGCTTTTAAATTCAATTTTGCTCGTAATTGAATCTCGGCTTTACTTTCGAGAGGCGTGATATTTCTTACGACTATACGTAAGAAACGATATAAACGAATGCAAATTTTGTTGAGTGCCACATCATTCTCGAACGAACAATTTTTGGATGAAGCTAAAAATAAGTATAATCCGTAAGCATAATCAGATCATTTTTTTAATCCTCGAAAGTGTCGCGTATAGCACGTTCATTATCGGCTCTTATCAGAAAACAAAAAATGAACCTTGTTCGAAACGAAATTTTGTTTGTAAATTTTTTAAATTACTTAATATAAAATTATAATAAATTGTTCTATGTGAGAAATCATTTATATATCTGAAAAGAAAGACTCTTAGTTGCACAACTTGCAAGACAGACTCACTAGTCCGGTTTTCCGGAAGATAAAAAATTCTTTACGTTTAAGTGAAGAAAGAATATCTTCATTTCTTAATTTCGCACTAATTATTTTCTTAAAAAACTTAACAGACTTGCGGATATTTAATTATTGCATGCAAATTTATATAAGCAGATAAGACAAATAAAATTTCATTTGATACACTTCTCTATGCTGCTAGCGTAATAACATATATACATATATGTTATATGTATAATGTTTTTTATATTATTGTCACATCTCGTTGAACAGACGTGTATTTCTTCGTCTGTATATGCATAATTATTATACTATAGCAACGATCTCTCAACGCGATGATCAAGACAAGAGTATTGCAGATATTGTTTACATAAAATAATATTGATGGTAATATACATATAAATAAAAATAATAATTATGTCAATATTTAGAGAAATTTTATGAAAAGCTATTGTTTCATTATTACATAATATTATATTTGTCATTGATTAAACTTTCGATTGAAATTCCTTTAAAATAAAATAATATAGGATACACATTATGTATACGCATCTCTTATATTTAACTTTGTTAAATGTCTGAACATTATTAATAACTAAGAACTATTCGGAGATTGAAACGAAAGGACATATAAAAAATTTAGAATAATCTGCACATCTTATTTGCGGCTGTCTGAATCTCTCTTCTAAATAAATCCAAATTGATAATATGTATTTGATAAACTATTTGAGTTTATCCAATGGCGCAACGAGATAATGAAATACGCTTTTCATTTTAATGATCACATTTGCGTCACATGTTTTCAATTCGCCCGACAGCGAGACGAGATACTAAAAATACAAAACGGATATACACATTATGGTGCTCCTAATGGCGCGCCGGTCTCGTTTCATGAAACATGTTCGAAAAATTTGGTCGTTACCCCATAACTTACCACTCGGCTTGCTAGCATTCTCCACTCTCGCTCTTCGCATTTCCGACAGCATTTCTCAAATTGCCACGGTGGTTTCGCGGAGCATATTGCACCGCTAAAGTGAAAGAAACTTGTTCGTGTCGTCCGCGGAAGCAGTTGTTCGCGCGGTTGCGCGGAGCTTAATAAAATCAGAACGCCTAGAAGCGTCGATTATATTCAAATAATTCGCGTTTTTCTTTCCAATGAGAAACAAATGCTCTGGATCGATCCGTTTGTCTATATAAACATTTTTACGCTATAATTGTTATTATTATTTACAATAATTGTAATGACATGCTATGCGTAACGCGCTGACGAACAGCTCGAACGAGCTGTTCTCTCAACGATTTCGTTTGACAGCGAGAGAAGGATGTACAATTTTTAACAATCAATCAATCAATAATCATTAATCATTAATCATCAATCAATAATCATTATTAGATCTAGACTATATCACTTATCATTAATAATATTAATTTCATTATGAGCGGCATGGTCTATAGCGTTTAGTGCACTTGCGTCACTTACGTCAATATCGTCTGACTGTGATTGACTCGTATCACTTACGGTTCATGAAGAGAGTAACTATAATCGACTTGTATTGCTTACGTCCCATATAATCCTGGTGGATAAATCGATTCAACTGAACAGTGCGACTCGTTGTTCGATTGCATGTCAAGAACAAAGTCGATAACATGCTTTCCTCGTTTCGCAAAATATGAGCGCAGCTCACATCTATTTGACATTATTTATTCGTCGTTTTCCGTTACCTTCTTTTATCGTTGTCATCTCGACGTCACTCTCAAGATAGAACAGATACAAAAAAATTGTCATGATAAATTCGTTGTCGCGACATTACCGATTATTTTGCACGTTATCATTTGCGACATACTTAATCCGGTTCGCCGCAGTGACGGACGTTATTGGAACAACTTCTGAATCGACGTACGACGATCGCCTTGAATCACGTTCGCGCTTTATCCCGAGGGGCTGTCCCCTCAAGCATTCCTTGTGAAAAATGAATGCCCGACCGTTGGATATACGAGATGATTAATTTTAAGTGATCAGGGTTGAATAAGAATCGAATAAATTGCGAAAGTAGATAAAGTAAATGTCGCGCGAGTAATTCTTTAATTATGAATCTCTACTGGGGCTTAAAGGAATTGATACGTTTAAAAATGTTAGAGAAAGACAAGGTAATGGAATGACTTTCAGTCTTGTCACATTAATCGCTAAACTTAATTCAGTGATGTAATTCAGTGATTTTCCTTCTTATGTAAACATTATAATTATATAAAGATTGTGAGAATTCAATTGTTTTTATATTATCTGAATGGTATAAAAAAATTCTTATTTAGTGGATCAATCGTGTCATACTACTCTCACTCTATTCTCGCAATTCCATCTCGTCCCTCTCATATTTTCAAAACCATGAGTAACAGCTGTTTCTAACACTCTAATACGATATAAGAGTTTTTTTATCGCTCTCCTGCGAAGGAATCTTAAGTCAAATTTTGTTGACACATATTGTGAGAATCGAGAAATTCGTCAATGAAAGACGATGACGGATGTAGGAAGTGGCGTATCATACTGCAAATCCCTCACCATGTTTTCGATCAAAGAGAATTCTTCGATGGTCGAGTCGCCGTTGGCTGCGAGCACTTTCTCGCTATATTAAATACTAACCGTTGTCCCAGACGCGGGCTCCATCGAGCTTGACTCTATGGACGACGACGAATGCCCTCGTCCCTGCAGCTGTCTATGCTCCAGATGACATCCTTTCTCCGATTTAAAAATCACTTCTCGCGACAAATACACTCGCGTAGCAACGTCCAACGAGCATCTTCGTAAAATTATCTCTTTTCACGTTGGAAACAATTCTCATATCTCAACACTGCGAAGCGTTCAAACTCGAAGGAACTGGTGAGTATCGAGCCGACATCGAAAGCCGCCACTGAATATCGCGAATAGAGCACGACTCGCGATGCTCGGCGATCGCGAGATGGACGAGATGGATGGACTCTGCTCCCGATTGGAATCAAAACTGCGGCCGCAGCTCTTAAGCTCGAAGCGAAAAGACAAAGCTCGAGACGAAGTCAAGAAATGCGCGCGGAATGCAAACAGGCCGAATCGAACGACGACAGCAAGCGACGAATCGTTCGCGAACAGCGTACACCGGCTTTTACGTACGGACGCACCCCCGTAGTGGCGGCAGGGCGCAGGATCGCGCTCACCGATGTCTCCGGGGGGGGGGGGGTGATTGTGGCGCATGTGCGGCAAGCGTACGACACAGGATCGGAGAACTCCGCATGCGAAAACGCGTAGTCGCAGCCTAGTTCCGTCGCGACCTGGGCTCTCCCTCTCTGCTCTTTCTTCTCTCTCTTTCTTCTTTACCGCCCTGTCCTTTCCGCCCCCTTCCTTTTTCCCTCTCTATAATAAACCTTCTCTTTACTTTTATTATTACGCCCATGCATCGATACATTTTTTATTTTTATTCTTAGATTACGTTAACGCTGACGAGACTCCATCGTGGCTTTGCAATCAAGGAAACTTGGTTAAGGTTTTTCTTCTTCTCTTATATAGGTAATAAAGGTCTTTTTCGCGTCTTTCTCGCGTTCGTTCCCTCGCCTCTCCTCTCTTCGAGTCTTGTCTCACGCGTGTTCAAGATGACGACCCACAAAATAATGAAAAGACTTTAGTTTTTTCGATCTTATTTCTCGAGTGCTCTATCGTTCGCTAGATGTCGAAGAAATAGGCAGTGTTATCTTTCAGTTAAGACTTCATTTTCAAGATTACAGATTTATATTAACAGTGTCTGTATGCATTATTCTTTCTTTTGTATTAATCATGCGCGCGCGCGCGCGCGCGCGCGCACATATGCGCTGTGTTTTACTCATGTGTAAGAAAATTTAAAATAAATTAAGATTAATACAATTAATTTTTTAACAAGTAATTAATTACAAGTCATTAATAATTAAATTATATATTATACTTTGTTTTCTCTGCTATCGTCTGAGCACCTCGATAAGAATCATAAATTCGGATTATGGATTGAAACGCACAGAAATTTATGATTGTTAAATGGGCCAATCCGTTTTTAACACATTTAAATTTATTTATATACTTGACCTGCGTTACGTATCACGCTTAGCTTTTGAAACTATAATAAAAAATCCGAATGGAGTGTTTCGAACAAACGCGCTCGCCTTCGTTTTCGTCGATTACAAGGGCATTAACTCCTCGATATAGAGCGAAAACGTTTCAAAACGATGATACTTTATCCCGTCGAAGAGACAGCAGAGATTTCATTTACAATTTTGCATGCAGATATTAGCAACTTTTGCGAATATTCACGATCAGTTCTAGATGTCACGGATAATTTGAAATGTCGCGCCGTAATCACGTTTCCATCCGCACATTTTCCTTCGATATATCTCGCTATATCTAACTTTGTGATACTCGATCATCCTGGTCCGCGATCTTTCCCTTTATTCCGTGCTGCATGATGCTTTATTTAGTTTCCACACCTTACCTGGCTGACTCACACGCGTCTCCATCCTCGATTCCTTTCCTTCTGCGTTGCGTAATTCGACGCGAAAGCGACAGCTTCGATATCGTCCATCAAGATGTGTGTGTGTACATATATATATATATATACATATCGATATATTTCGCACAGTGACGTCTGACGATCTCTATTCTCGCGCCGACGTGATGTTCGTACCTCGACAATGATCCGATAAGCGGAATAAACGAAAATTCCAACATGGAATTCTAGAAATGGTAACTATTTTTGTACGAAAAATAAGAATTTTAATAAAATTTATTTTTTTCCAATTTTTTAAAAAGTATAACATAAAATTGACATACTTGTGACATGCTTATGGCATGCTGCTTGGTCAACAATTAAGGAATAAACGATAAATCGTTAATACTTTCGTAAAATTTTTCTTCGGTCTGTCATAGGAGAGGAACAAGACACACGACACACTCGTGCCTTGCACCTTGCAATTCTTGAAGTACTTGTATAGAACTTATCGCTTACGATCTTTATCTGTTATCGCTCTCGCCGTAGCTCTCGTGTAGCATAGTGTTTCTACTCGATCGTTTGCTCGTTCTAACTTCCCATTCACTCACGACTCTATGCCTCGCGAGAGATTTGAAGGAAAGCTGGGCACATCAAAGATACAAACAATTGCTCTTTGCTCGCACGAGTCGCATGTATGGAGCACGAACGGTAAACCTTTTCACCGAAAAATGATGGCGTGTGATTTTTAATGATATCGTCTCGCAAATTTCTTTGTGTACTTTTTAGTACAAAAGCGGAATTAAAAAAGTATTATTTCTTTCTTATAAAGGATTAAGGATTTTATTAAGAGTTATTATTAAATAAAGCGAGGGAAGACTCGTCAAATATTTGACAACTCACGTGATTATCGTGGTGGTGCAGAATTCATCGTGGAAGTTTGCTCGTCATCTTTCACATCTGAAGATGTACTTGATGATACGTACCAAAGCGCGTATCTTCGCGATCACCTCCTCCTGCATGAGATTAAAACACATAGCGATCAGCGCCATTCCTGAAAATACAAAAAAATATCGCTAATTCGATTATACTTTACTTGTCTGTAAAGTATAAAATATTAGATTAGAGCGCAATTTTAAGCATCGCGGATTGCGATTATTGCGCGAATTGTTGCGCGAGTCGAGAGTGCGAATTGCGCCGCTCGTACAGAAGCGGTCGAAACGTTTGAAAGCACTTGAATATTTTCCGCGAAAAATCTGCCCGGCAATCGGGTATTGATTGAAACGAACTTAATGCGCTCGCAGCACGGAAAGCTGTATAGCAGCAGATGAAATCGCGTTGCAGGATTTAAAGCGGTTGATCTCTTTTAAAACGATTGTCTTTGCGCCACACCGTTGAGCGTCGAAAATTCTACGGCAATCGGATTTCTTAAAAAACTAGCAATCTATTTTTTATCTCAATTTGCCGAATTTGGCTAAAATACACACGGTTAAATCAAATTATTTTTATTTATGCTTTTAATATCGACTGTGGCTTTCCTTATTAGGAATGATTTCATTCGGGACAATTAAGAGAATTTTCTTTGGCGAAAGCTCTAAATTCCCTATTGATTTTTGTACGCAAAATAATTCAAGTTAATCCACCGGTAAGATAAGAAAAGCATTATATTGTTGTATATTGTATAAAACTTACCCAGCATCAGGTACATAGAACATATGATGAAAGATAAATCGACTTGTCCGGAGTAGATCTCGTCACCTGGTACAATGTCGCCGAAACCTATGGTCGACAAAGAGATGAAGCAGAAGTAAGAACCGTCCAGCATATTCCAGTCTTCCCATACCGAAAACAGAATTGCGCCGCCCCAAATATACCTATTGCGAGAGCGAAAAGCGAAAGAAAGTATCGTCAGTCCGGAATGATTTCGCCAGCAGTTCTCTCGAATTTTCGTGGCATTCAAGTTTAATCGCGAAACGTTGGACTCGCAACTTGGTCATCGAGCGATGTCGATATAGCGAGTTCCATCCGAGTATAACGCGTCCGTAAATTATACTTTGAGATCTTACCTTAATAGAATTCTTTATTTGAATTGGACGAAACTTGACAATCTTGAAATCAATTTTTAATCTCGAAGATTAGACATTTATAACTTTCCAAATTATTTAATGCAAGTATGTATGTACAAGAAGAAATGGTATATACATTTTATTAATATTAACTTTTCAAAAATTATATTACAAGCTTTTTAAATTTCAGTTTTTATATCTCCGAATTTTAAATATTATATTATTTAAAATAATAATATTAAAAATAATACATAAAAAGTAAAGTCTGTCATTTCTTCTTCCTTTTTTTATTCATCTCTTCATTGTGAATCCTTTTCATTTTAAAAGTGAATCTTTTTCATTCTTAGCAGTCCTATTATTTCTCTCGTCAGACACTTACCCCACCATAATAGCGAGACAGAGCGTTAACGGCACCGTCACATGTTGAGGATCGTAGCTGTCGCCGCTTTCGTCGTCATCTTCCTCATCGTTGCCGTCGCCCTCGCCCTCGCCTTCGCCTTCGCCCTCGCCCTCGCCCTTGCCCTCGCCCTCGTTAGCGCCATCATCGTCGTCTCTAGGCAAAGTTTCTTCTACATTCAAGCTCGACGCATCTACCTCCCCACCGTAGGTGTTTACAATCTGTATAAATAATTCTTGTTTGAATATTCTCTATTCGATGGTAACTAAAAAGTAGCAGAATTCTCTTTCAATGACAATAAGCGTCAACGTCTCGACGGTGGAAATTCCAGTTTTCGTTTTGAATTTAATCTAGTTTTCGTTTTGAATTCCGCGAAAATACTCTAGGGAGATACTTTTCCCTCTATTATATAAAAGTCCCTCGCTTTACCCATCGTATTTCCCATGACGTGACTTCGTTAGAATGCAATTTCTAATTGTGGTTACAGCGATCGTCTCTTACCTGCCACTGATCTCTTTTTGCCGCCGAATCATTTGACGTCTCCGAGACTCTTGCGCTTGCCGTACCGTATGATCTTCTTCGACATCTTGAGAAATTGATTGATAATTGCGATTAATTCGACAATAAGATTTCAAACTTTACTTTTACAATCTATCGAAAGTGGTAAAGATAAGGATCGATCTGAAAGGATCAATAGGAATGTGATACGGAATTTTTCGCGAGGAGGAGAGCGGTCTTACTTGCACAGACAGCAGCGGGCGTAGGTCCATTTGAAGCTTCTGGCCAGAATGTCGCCGATATTGCTGAGGTAGAGAAGGAAAAGCGGCATTCCTATTATTGCGTACACTATAGTCGCGACTTTGCCCCATTTCGTCCTGGGACAAATGTTGCCGTAACCTGCGCAGTAAACGAGAACGCGGCAAGTGAGTTTATCGACGAGCTTCGTTGCTTCGACGAGTATCGTTTCTATTTCTTGCTTCATCCATCCCGCGTACATGAGCTGATCCATTTTTTATTAATTTAGTCCCCGGTTTGTTTCGATAGAAACCCTCATGTCATGCCGTTCAAGCAACTCTCTCTCTCTCTCTCTCTCTCTCTTTCTTCTCTCTCTCTATCTCTACT